CTTGTATAAGTCAGACATGGGATCCTTCTGTGAGCCTCGCAGTGCACTCACAAAAATTACAGTGGATTACATGATACAGTCCCATCGTTGTGATATTCTCTGTGTATCCCTGATGGTTGTTCTTGTCTTATTGCTTGCTCTCACTGCACCTTGTCTCTAAACATGCATGAATGCCTTTGTATGAAACGGGGAGGAAGGGAGGGGGGGGGGGGTGGATATGCAGCTACCTTTTGCATGTGAGCTTCTTTGGGACTTTAGTTCTCCTGCAATCAGCTAGTGCACATTTTTAGTGTCATATTTTTCACATGTGCTCATGCAGAGAATGTGCACACTGCATCAGTTTGTGTGTGTGTTCAGGGCTACATTGTGTGTGTGTGTGTGTGTGTGTGTGTGTTGTGTGTGTGAGTGTTTTTTTTTGTGATAACTCTACTGAGAGGCAGGCAGACAGTTGGGAGGGTAGAGGAGGAGGAAGAGGAGGAGTACTGAAGACAATGTGAGCGCTGCAGTATGATCCTGTATCCATCAGGCTGCCTCCTGCAGTCACTGCTGCTTAAAATGCACTGCCACAGACACACACACACACACACACACACACACACATATACACACTCTTTCTCCGTCTCTCTCACTCACACGCAACACACACACACACACACACACACACACACACACACACACACACACACACACACACACACACACAGGAAATGGCCTCAATCACTGTAGCACACAGTCCACAGTTTCTCATTCCAGATGGGATTATGATGTTATTACTGCACGATTACACAGCATAACTATATTAGCAACAGAACACAAACCTGGGACTTCTCAATCAGTCACCTTCCCTTTATACTGAGAGGACTTTTCAACAAGCCTTCCGTGCCTCACACACACACACACACACACACACACACACACACACACACACACACACACACACACACACACACACACACACACACACACACACACACACACCCTGAACTAACAACAGCAGGAGTCAGCCATTTACCTTTATCTTTACCCTTCCTGCTGCTGCTACTGCTGCTGAATGAGCTATTATGAGCTTGATTTAACAATGTTTTCGTGCTGATGGATTGCCATTTTTATGTCTCTGAATTTATGTTGATCCAGTGACGCAACAAGGTTTGTGTTTGGGAGCCTTTTTGCAGGTGGATGTAGCAGCCCAGCTGTGAACAACGCCGCTAAAATAGCACGAATGATTACTCGTGGGTGGATCCACTGCTCGCTTTCCCCCTCCCCACCCTATGGAATTTGATAAGATGGAGAGGAAAAGGTGGTCAAAAAGAGAAGGAGAGGGAGAGAAACAGAGGAAGGAGAGGGGCTGAGATGTGGAAATATCAAAAGAGGAGAGGAGGGGAGGGGGAGCAGTGAAACCAGGAAATAGATGAGATCCAAAAAGCTGTTTTCAGATTGAGTCAACAAGATAGTGAAAGAGAAGAGTGAGAGTGAGGGAGCTGCACTTCTTCCTGTCACCATGAAGAAGTAAAAACAAGCCTGCCTTTCTCAATTCTAACTGTAATGTATTCAAACTTAAACCGCTTTGCATCTCTCGGAAACCCCCTGATGAAGAAGAAAAAGGCATTTAACTCAACGTGTACATAAGTCTGCATTTCACCTAATTGCCAGTGAAGAAGGCAAAAAATGAAATGGATTTATTTGTTTTGCACCTACTGAGCACATCTGACTTAAAGTGTTTTCTGAGCAGCTGAATTGAAAGAGGTGTGGTGTCAGGGTTCAAAGAGGCATTATTTGCCTTATTCAAAGGATGTAATGGGATATCCCATCAATATTTCACGTTGTATAGCAAGACATGGGCTTCCTCCTGCTGCTCCGTGATACGGTATTTGCTCATGGGCTGGTTAGGCAACAAAGCACAGACCCACCACCAAACCCCTCCCACCAGCACCCAACACTCCCTGAGGTATCTCCTTGAGGACTCTCCTTGCCAGCTGACAATTAGCATTCAGTCGCTAATGCACTACGAGCTAATTGAGCACAAGGGGGCTGAAGGTGTCAGTCACTGGAGAAGGCTTCTGAGCCCTGCGTATCCTGGAAGCGAATGCCTGTGCCATTTTAAGACGAGAGGGGATCAAATGTATTGAACCAGTTCAGATAAAATGGGTGACATCAAGAGCAAATTAAAGTCAGTATAAGGCCTTTTAGATTAAAGGAATGTTTCTCATATGTTTACTCGACAATATAAGGACTACATGGGTAGAATTTCTCTATGGTTGTTGCTCACACATTTACATCATATTTGTTTATAGATTTATAGAAAACACTTAGACACACAGATGTCATAACCAGCAATGTAAATCAATGCTGCTTGGAACAGTGCACATCATTGTGTTGAATAGAAACGGGGAGCTATTATAAGAGCTGCCCTTAGGTGTGCGTTTGTGTCTGCCACGCATGCACAAGCAGCTCTGCATGCGAGAATTGTGCACATGCATGCATTGTTTGTCTGCACATGTACAGTAGAACAGAACACTTTATAATCCCTCGTTTTTTTAGAAAGGTGAAGGTTCACTGAGGTTTGTTTAAAAAAAAAAAAAATGCTGAGTGGGTGACCTGCAGTCTGAAGGGCATTTGACGAACATCAGTGGAGCTTCTCTGCCGCCCGGTTGAGAGAGAAATGAAAAAGAGAGAGAGAGAGTGGTGAGAGGGAGAGAGGACACCTTGGTGTATGTTTGGACTGACATTCCCTCTGACTTGGAAAGCAGGAATGAAGAGAGAAAAGGGCTGTTTTAAAGACTGATATCTTATAACAGGAAGTATCTGAACAGTGACTCACACACTACAGGGAGAGAGAGACAGCGAGGAGCCTCTGTTCATTGTGTTATAACTATGTATCACTTATGTGCATGTGTGTGTTTGGCATTATGTTCATGGGTGTGACTGGATGGTTTTCACATGCATCTAATAAGGAGCGTCAGTGGTGACATTGTGTGTATGGGAGTATCACATTTTTCAAAGCATGCAATGATGCATTTCAGTAGTGTGTGTGCGTGTGTGTGTGTGTGTGTGTGTGTGTGTGTGTGTGTGTGTGTGTGTGTGTGTGTGTGTGTGTGTGTGTGTGTGTGTACAGATCACATTTCAAGAATGCATCACTGAATTTTAGCAGTTAGTATGTGTGTGGATTCCTCTGAGAGCTTTTAATGTTTCTTCATGTGTGTGTTGTTTTTGTGCTTAGATGATCATATTTCATAATGAACTTTCTTAAAATTCTCACATGTTCCTGTACGCATACATAAAAGTGTTTTAGGATATTAGCATATTTGAGGAAATGGTGATGCATTTAAGTGCTTATGATACTCATGGGTCAATGTGTATTTGTGTGTGTGTGTGTGTGTGTGTGTGTGTGTGTGTGTGTGTGTGTGTGTGTGTGTGTGTGTGTGTAAAAGCTGAGGGAGCTGCACAAAGCACTGCGTCTGTCGTTACAATTTAAGGGGCTTGTCGCTGATACCACGTCCGTACGTCTTAACTCACTGGTACATCAGCAGTCAGCAACATGGCTCCCTCTCACTGAACACATGCTGAGCAAACAAGCCTGACCTCTGCACAACACCCGCAACAACACTGTGAAGTGACACTTATCACACACGACTTTAGTGTACAATAAACTGTACAGAAGTATTTGTATGGAAGCTACACAGCCTTGTTGTAGGAACACATAGAGTGACTATAAGACGTGCTCATAAAAGCCGCAGAAGACACAGGTACATAATTATATGACTAATCACATTTATTGGGATCTGTTTGAATATTTCTACACCTTTTGATTATCACATTTATTTACATGCTTTTCAAGATATTCCAGTCCTGCAAGGGAGTTACTTTTAACCCTTATGTTGCCCATCAGATTATGTAAATCTTAAAACAAATAAAATAATAAATTTAGTATTTTTATGCTTTTCTGTTCAAGGAAGAGCATCACTTCTACTACTACATCCAGCCCTTTGTTGGTGTAACCACATTGAACTTTTTCAACAACGATTGACCTTACAGAGACACGTCTGTCTTTTTTGTTTTGTTTGTCATTGTCAGGAGTGTGTAGAACAGGATTGGAACCTGCTTGACCGAAAATTATGTTGTCTATCTGTAAAGGGAAATGGTTTGAAAGTCACTTTAGATAGTTCAAATCTAAAAAAAAAGAAAAAAAGGTCAAAGTCTGCAAGTAAAGCTAGGACAGATGTTCAATGTCTGAATACATTTTCATTTCCTACAGGACTTTTCCACTCAAAACAGAAAACATTTGCCTTGCCAGCACAGAATGAGACAATAAACTGGTGGAATAAGTAAACAATGTATAAATGGATTTAATAAAAAATGGGAAGTGGGCTTTCATAGACTACATTTAACCAGTAATTCATTTCATTTAGACTTTAATGTTGACATATTTTCTTAGGTTTCCTTCCATTGCCAAAAACGTGGCTCCACTGCATTCCTATATAAGCAGATATATTCCCTCCCTTGGACACAGCTGTGGGTGTTACAAAAGGGTGGATGAGGGAGGATACTCTCAAGCCATCCATTTAGGCGACTATTCAATGACACCATCTTTCGTTATGTCCCTTTAATTTACTGTGACATCGTTTTAAATCTAAATTCAAGCATGATTAATACGGTATAGCCATTTTCAAACCATATACGCACTTTTTGGAGTCTTTAGTAATACCAACAACTTTTCGCTGATGAGACAAAAGCAGATAGTTCCATTTAATGCGGGAGGAACCATTTGGCTGCCGAAAAGGGGTGGTTAGGAAATGTCAAAACAGACACAGCAATACTCAGTTAACTTATTTTTATGTTAGCTTCGTGTTTGTGTTTAGAAATGTAACATGAGTGTATTCCTTTATTTTTTAAATGGAGTTTGTTTTTTTGGCAGTAGTTTAAACATCCGGTTGGAATCCCTGTTCACCCCTCCGAGGCAGAATAGACTCAACCTACTCAATCATGCACTTCAGCATACACTGCAAAGAGCATGCTTTCACCTTTAGGATTGTCTGTGCTTCTTGAAGTCACCCTGGATTATTCTGGTGGATAAAACAGGTATGAACATCTCTTTTCCCACTCTCTTTTCTACGCATTACACAGTGTGCTGGACCACATCGTGGGCTTTGAATGGGCTAGAGGTGGAAGTCGATTGTCTGATCTTGATTTATAAATAGGTTACATGCAGGAAAGGCAAGAGTTGGGTGTTTTAATTCGGAAAAAAAAATCCTGTGTCGGTGACCATAATAAGGAAACACGGAGTCATAAAGGTGATAAAGACACTTGTACAATTACCCCTTTTCACACGCACAATATAACTTCGAGTAGTTAAAGGACACTTGTGAATTTTACGAGTCAGTTGTGTCAATCTTTGAAAACTTAGCCTTCTTAATGTCTGTAATTAAAAACAAAACAAATGTAGGAATAGACTTGATTCATACCCTCCACTAAACATCCCCGGGACTAGACAAACTTTCCACCAGTTTACCACTAAACACACTCATCTCCTTTTTTTTGGACAGCGATCACCTCAGCTTCAAACACACACATTTTGTGGCAAGAAGAATTAAATAACAGACATCCAAACTCATTCAGGAGATGGAGGAACACTTCCAAGTCTTTTAAACACTGTTTTATTTACACAGAGAAACAGACACACAGGGTGGAGGTGGACGCTGGGGAAAATAGTGGTGAGGGGGGGGGGGGGGTATATATACTAGGAAGTCTTGTCCTACTTAATAGTGATGGCACAATTGCCACTGAGCAAGGCACAGGTGCCTTTAGCTGGAGAGGGTTGTGCGTTGTCACCCACCAATAAGAGGATGTGAAACCGCTGGAAGATTCTGTGACGATTCTCTTCTGCTTTCTTTTCTTTTGCGCATATTCAAGCTCCTACAACTCATCTGCATGGTGTGTTGGTGTGTACGTGCGTGCGTGAGTTTAAGGTGGGGGGAGGGGGGGGGGCGTGGGCAAATGCGCGTCCTTGTGCATGTAACTTATTTTTTCTCTCCCCCAATTGATAATACACCTACAGGATGTGAGTCTGCTGATACGATATAGGGACACAAAGGGGGCCAAACTGCAGCTGCTGGAGTGTGTGTGTGTGTGTGTGTGTGTGTGTGTGTAAAACTGACGTTTTATGTTTTCGTTTTTTTGTCCAAATTACATACAGGTGACACTAATATGACAAAAGTAAGCATGTCACAGGTAGCGCTATCTGCCTGTAGCACCAACATGTCTTTTTACGCACGTATCCCGCTGCGCATGTATTTTGTTGAGACTGCTGTGGAGCTGATTGTTCACTGTCGCCTCTTCGCCTCTTTTCTACTCTTGTGCACCTTAGACTAAATACACACAGGGACACAAACACATCGGCGGATGGACCCCGCTGATAGGAAGCGATGGAGACATACAGAGAACATGAAACAGAGATGTTGGGAAATATAATGTCTCTCTGCTTGGACTGCGGTTTAGTGACAAGGGACAAACTTTTCTGCTTCTCATTTTCGCCCTCAATCTTGTCCTCGGTGTTTCGCTCTCTACGGGGCTTCTTTCCCTTCACGGTGCGTTCAGGTACAGCCATAAGCTCCGCAATTTCCATAATCCAAGTGCACGAGTTTGATCAAAAATTCAAATAAGTGTTTTAGAGACAAAAAATACAAATGCGCTATTTTTTTTTTACAAAGGAAAGACACGTTAGCCTACTCAGGGTTCTCTATAGATAGGCTCTACATAAATTATGGGAAATAGTTTAGGCAAGAGTCTAAATGACTTAATAACAAAAAAATAATTTCCTGTTTGATGAATCTGTGAAGATTCGTTTTTCACAATTTATCCGCCAATCAGTGGGTTTCATCTCTTGATGTCAGGAAATATAATCAAGAAAAAAAACAAAAGTTAAAACTTACACTGTTAAAGGACAATTAAAAGTCATTACAAATGAGAAACTAAGAACAGCAATGGAAAAACAATTAATCATGAACATGTTGTTGCTGGTACATCTTCTTAAACCCAGATGTAGTAACTATTTCTTATTACCTATTATTAAATAATTAAATAGCCCTCACTAAAGAAAAACAGGACAGCTTCAGGGCTTAGGCTATCTGATCTTAATAATTATTCTATTAGGCTATGTATGGATAAAACGGACCTAAAACGATCTTCTTAGGCCTGTATGCAAATGGTATAAAAAAGGAGCTTTGAAAGCTCCCACTAGCCTATTTAGCCTTTCACTGAACTTACAATGGAATTCCTTCGCTTGTCCTGTTTTTGTCCTGATATTCATTATGGAATATCGCCATTTCCGACCGTACCTGAAGGCAGCAACAGAGAAACGACAAGAGACAAGAGAGAGAGACACAGCGGAGCAGCGAGGGGAGAGAGAGAGAGAGAGAGAGAGAGAGAGAGAGAGGAACCTGTGCTGTTCTATAACACAGGGAGACAGGAATCCGTCAGAGATAACCCGATAAATATAAACTGTTAACGGTTTTTGGAGAGTTGAACCTCGGGGTCTCTGTTGTCAGTCGCTGAACTCGAAGCTACAGAACAGTGTCTCCTCTTATCTCTGTGGATCTGGACTCTTTACGTGAGCTTTTTTGGAGAGCTCGCACCGGTCTCCACTGTATCTGTGTGAGGGTTTGTGCCCAGCGGTGTTTGAACTGGTAAGGAAGTGACTGTGTGTAATTAGTATTGTTTGTTGTTTGGAGGGTGCGTTCACGGGACTGCTGCTGCTTTAAAGTAATCTTTTGACTACCACACTCTTAACCTGTAGTCATTTCCTTTACGAGTGAATTAAGAAACGGGCAGCTAAAGGACATGTGCTGCTACCTCGGCGATAAGGGTCATTTTGAGGAATGTATGCCTGATAACAAGAGTATGGGACCTTGATAAATGAAGGCAACAGAAAGTGTGTTATAGGAGCCTAATATTGGGGTAAATTGTTTTCTTAAAGGAATCTAATTGTGGCATTTTAGGCGATAAAACAGTGTTATAAAGTAGCCTAAGAGACCTATAAACTTAGAAAGCAGTAGCTGGAGTTAGAATTATTGTTATACCATAGCTGATAATAGTAGCTAACATCCATTAAGGTCACAGTAAACATTAAGTGCTATAACAGGTTTATAATAGGATTGTCATAGTGATCCTCCCTAGGGGAAAGCTGGAGTAGTTATCAGAGGAGATAGTTATGTAAAAGCATAGTTTGCAGTGTGCGTGTGTGTGTGCGCGTGTGTTTGCGAGAGAGAGAGAGAGAGAGTCAAAACCTGCTTTTTTCCGTGCTGTCTATATTCAAGGAAAACACAAGATCAAGACAAACATGTGGGCGTTGTCTGATATGCCTTTGAAGCAATTAAGAATTTTAATTGTCACATTTGTAGGGCTGACACACACACACACACACACACACACACACACACACACACACACACACACACACACACACACACACACACACACACAATCATATTAACATTCCTGTTGTCACCATGTGTGTAGGTGAGTTGAAATGTTTGGTGTTTGCAGCTTCTCTCAGTGTCTTTGTCGGTTGTATTAGCCTAGTACAGTCGTGATAATCTTAATAAACTCAGTGTGTGCACAGTATCATGTACCGGGAGTTTTCTGTACTTGACAGCATTTTCCCCCCTCTCCTTAAATATTGACTTTCTGCAGTGTGCTGTTTTTCTGTCTTGGTGTTTAAAGATACAGTATTTTCTTCTCTGTCAGCACACACACACACAGAAAGAGATAGAGAGAGAGAGCTATGAGGAGAGGAGGAGGGAGGGAGGGAGGGAGGGAGGGAGAGAGACAGAGTGTTGTTTTGCAGACAGGATTACATTGTCTCCCCCATGTCAGATTTCAGACACTGTGTTAAACATTTCTTCTACCGCCTGCAGCTCTTACTCTGTGGTTACACCCGGCAGCAATACAGCATAGCACAAAAACAACAATCAATGACCTAAGTTTCCCAAATCAACTGTTAGATAATAAATGGTCCTTGAAAGCACCACCTGTTCTTAAAGAGTACTAGGAATAAAAGGAGCCATATAGTCAGTGAAGCCTTTCTGAACATTGCATTGATTGACTTTAGGTTGTACTTTTTTTTCAAGAGAAAGCCACAAATCTACATTAAGATTTCAATGAGGGGGTGTTTTTCTGAGAGGGTTATGTCATAGGAGAGTGTCATGTCTGAGGTCACTTGTTGAGTAGCAAAAGAGGAACATGACCTATGTTTATATGTCACATGTTGTGGCTATCAGCTTACTGTTATGATTCAGTTTTTTTGACAAAGCTTACAAAATTACAGGAAAACTTTTTTTTTCTTTAAGATAGCCTGTTGGAGATGCCTCACATTCACAAACGGGTCACTCAAAAGCCACGACATTACTCGAATGAAGCTTTTTGTATTTGATTGTCGTGCCTCTTTTCATACACTGAATAAATGCTGCATACACTGAGCTCACGTCAATAGGACTGTTTGTCTTCTGTAAGCAGTGTGTGTGTGCTTACTTTTCCATCTTCATGCTTATCATGATCATGAACTTTCAATTTCAACTCCACCACCACTCTTTATCTCCTTCAAAAAGACTTGACTGTTTTTGCAAAGTTCACTGCCACCCCCCCCCCCCCCCACCGCCCCCCCATGTATATGTAGGAGTAAAATTAGAAATTAATTTTTTTGTCTTCTCCTTTCAGAATGTGGAAGTGTTTTATTGGTGTGCTGAAAAACAATGAGGACAAGGCAGGGCTTTGTGGTGGCAGAAATGCATTTTTAACCCATGTGAATGAATGGTGCCTCACATTCCACAGCAGCAGGCCCTTCACTGAATGGCAGCACTAACTCGGCTGTTTTCATTACTCATTACTGCCTTGTGCCTTTTCACCATGGACATAGTCATTTACCTTCACCAACTCAGGGGGGCTCAACACTAAAACAGACCCTGTCACTGGAGATTTTTTAAAGCAATATTTTATAATTGGCTATAAAGCAGCCCCTTTTTTTGTTTTTCCTCTTTTGACTGATTGATAAGTCATTGCTTCTGCTGAACATGTCCTTTTAAGAA